TCTATTTCAGTCATTTTTAAAATGTAATTTATTCCTGTGATGGCAAAGCTGAATTTTCAGCAGTCATTACTCCAGTCTTCAGTGTCTCACAATCCCTCAGAAATGTGATGCTCAAGAAACATTTCTTATCATCATCAATGTTGAAAACAGTTGTGCTACTTAATATTTTTGTGGAAAATGTTTTCAAAATTATTTGATAAATAGAACAATCAAAAGAACAGCAAAAGTCACTTTTGATCAATTTAAATCTTACTGACCCCAAACTTTTCAACAGTAGTGTAGTCATCTTATACTAGTCTTAGGGAACACATCTTTATATCTACAAAAATCTTTTCTTAAGCAACAGCTAAACTTCTGAGGTGGTGCATTGTTTTCTATATATATCTGAAGTGCCTGGTCATTTTTTTTAAATAGCACACTGAAGATGTCTCATTAGTATTTAAGGAGTTTGAGTGTTATTTAACTTTTTCCTATGACATTTTATAAATCATATGATTGAACTGCAAGAGATATTTTATGATTTTATTTCAAGTCCATATTTCAACACACACTGAATAAGCCACAGATCTTGAAGATTTCCCAGAAAGACAATGCAGTGCTGACTTGCTATGTAGGTTGAAGAGAAAGTGAAAGCAGAGCCTCCTCCTCAATTCCAGATCAGATCTGTACAAAGGGACCTTTCACATTATGTTCCATGATGTTTCCTTGAATTCATACCAAAGTCTTAGCACTGGGAAATGTCAATATCGACGGTAACGATAAACAGGGCTTGCATCCATTTGATTTTGAATAAATGGCCTTTGCGATATTAAAAAGAGCAAAATGAGGCACTTTGTCTTTGAGAAATCAACTGAATCCTGATGATAGCTGTTACCTCACAGTTCTTACGCTGGCATGCCAAAGCCTCAGTAAGTGGCTTGTCAATGGCTGTGGTTCTACTAGTCTGTCATGGTCTCAGAGAAGGTTCCTCTACTCCTCGGAGTTTGCTCTAGTCTATTGAGGATGAATTGACTTGTATCGATGAATCGTTCCACACAGTTTACAAAACACACCTCAGTCCTGGAGTCGAGCTTCGGGCCAGGCTTATCCATGCACTTCTCCTGCAAAGATAAAACATTATGAGCTCCAAAGAAACCCACGACTGATGACCTTGATGCATTTGGCAAACACAAATAAGAGTTTTGAGGGACATGTAACCTGGTTCATCCATTTTGGATTGGATTGAGCTACATAACTGGATACAATATCATACCACCAATTATTACAGAGATAACTCCCATGACACACACACACATACATATTGATACAACTGTTGTATATAATAAAGGGTAACAACAAACCCAAGACAAAAGAGAGCAGCGCATTTTAGTTTTAATAATTACTTGAACTACATAAAATAAAATAAAAATCTATATATCATAAACTTGCGAACAACTCAAGTGATCAGACAGGATATACAGAGTCAGTCTTCTATCATATGTTCAAGAAGTGATGCATTATGCAGCCCAGTAGGATAGAAACACACACACACACACACACACACACACACACACACACACACACTCACCCAGCACACTTCTGTCATCTGATGAACCAGCTGCTGAAACCTCTGCTTTTGAGACTCGACCTCGATAAACTGCTGCAGCTGAGGGTCAGTCGTGACTCCTTGATTATCCATTGGGGAGAATCCCTTAATGGTGATATTTGACCACTGTATACACTGTTCCAGCGCAATGCTGACCTTCTCGTGTCTAGATAGCCAGGAAACAGTAGAGCGGCGCGCCAATGAGAAAGCGTGAAATCAAGAGGAAACGGATGTGACTTCAGGTTGCACGCGGAAGTTGTTAGAATCCACACAGCACTACAAGGGTGTCAAAGAGCAGGGAGGTCGGTGAGCTGAAAATCTTTCCTTTCTTTGTCTTGTATTTTCACTTTGGTGAGGTCAAAATTGCGACAGTATCTTAATTCAGCCATTGCATGCATGTTTGTGCAGTATAAATGTATGTGTAAACAGAAACAGTGCGAAATCGATGAATGTCAAGCAAGGTCTTACAGAAAGCTGCTAGCCTAGCCACGGAACGCCACTTATAAATGTGACTAAACGTTCCGTGAGTTTTGTCTGCACACTCTGTCTCTTAATGCTAAGACATTCTAGATATTTCATTAATGTGATTTGTAAGTAACCATATTCACTCATATCTGTCATCTTTGCCAGATGATGTACAAGTTGCGCATGAGTCGTGTTTATCAAAATAAAATAAAATGGAATGTATAAGTCTATGCAGTTCCCACTTAGTAAATTGAATGGACGTTTGTATATAACATTTGATTTTGATATTTTACACTGTTATATTTTAACCCTAAGCCTGGATTTGTTTATGTACGGCAGCTACATGTTGTTGAAATTCACAATGTATTCAAATAAATTAATTCAATTATTGAATGGATACAACAAACAAACAATCAACAATACGAATTATTACATGAGATACTGTCAACTACTTTTGGATCAGTACTGAAGGGGAAAAATAAACTTTGGTTGTAAATAAACTGTCATTCATTTACTTAAAATATATACAAATATTTTTAATGTATGAAATATAACATAATATTTTGTTCATTTTCATGATGTTATGTTTTGTTGGCATAATTTGATTTGTGTGTCTGTGTATTACTGTAAATTGTTAATGGAATATATTTGATAATTTAATCCAAAATATAGTAAAACCAGTAATATTGTTTAATATTTTAATTTAAAATAACACTGTGAAAAATTCAAAACACAATGTATAAAAAATTAATTTATTTTTGTGCTTTTTTTTTAAACATATACAGCTCATGTTCAAATATAGAATTTCTTTAAATTTATTAATTCAATTGACGGTGAAATGTTACTGTTGTCTTATGTTTTATTTTAAACATTACTAAAGTGAAACTTGAATTCAATTTCTCTTAGGTCAGCTTTCTTGGCACAATGGGTCGTCACTTCGGAGATTTGGCCAAGATAAGGCATGTGATCACCTACAGTATTTCTCCCTTTGAGCAGAGGGCTTTCCCAAACTACTTTTCTAAGGGAATCCCAAATGTGTGGAGACGATTCAAAACATCTGTATTCAAGGTTGCACCACGTAAGTCATCTTTGTCTGAAATATATATATATAAAATGTATTCCAGCTATGAATTAAAGCAAACATTGTGTATGACTAAACTTTTCTACAAACCTGCATCTCTATTTACAGCCATGGTTCTGATGTACCTGACCTACACATGGGGCAATCGTGTTCATGAACAGAGCAAAAGAAAGAATCTGGAAGACTATGAGAATGACCAGTGAAATCACTCGGCTGAAGATCCTTGTGTAACAACTTGTTTCAGCTCAATAAAGAAAATATTTATGTGAAAGATGGATTTCTGAATTGTTGCCACTTAATCACTTTGCTTCAGTTTAATTGTTTAATAAAGTACCTTAATATGACGCATCACTCAGATTTATTCTCTCATTTGTAACGGTCATCATAAATATTAGAAATACAAGTGTCTTCTGGCGAGTGTTTGTTTTGCTCCTGCTACTTGATTCTATTTTACATGTCAAGGCAAGTTTTATTGTGTTCCATAGAGGTTTATTTTTCCGTTTTTACTTTTTGTTTTGATGAACTGATGAGATTTTATACATGATAATGAAATATAGCTTAACTATGCCATGTAAAGATTTCTCACATTTATTGGGTGTTCAAGCCTTTTTCAATGTGAATGCTCAATGTCAGTACAGAAAGCTCTCCCTCCCTCCTTTACTCGCTCTCATTCATAAATGTCTTAACCATCTGGTAAAGGTTTTTACAAAGCCTAAACATAAGGAACCACTAACTGTAAATGCAGGCATTCAAATACATGGTTATGTTTTTCTGGATGTGCCCATTAAAGTGTTAACAGAACACATAACAATGCCACGACTGTTCAAAAGTTTGGTAAATACAGTAACAATAGCAATACTGTGAAATAATTTAAAATAATTGTTTTCTATTTTAATATATTTTTAAATGTAATTTGTTCCTGTGCTGGCAAAGCTGAACTAGTTTCAGCAGTCATTACTAGTGTTTAAGTGTCACATGATCCTTCACAAATCATTCTAATAGGCTGATAAGCAGCAAGCTCAAGAAACATTGCTTAATATTATCAATGTTGAAAGCAGTTTTTTTTCGGGATTCCTTGATGAACAAAGTTTAAAAGAACAGCTTTTTAAAATTTTCAAAAGTCTTTACTGTCACATTTATTTCATTTAATGCGTCCTTGCTGAGTATAAAAAGTAATTTAGCAAAATATATTTTTAAATGTAATTTGTTCCTGTGCTGGCAAAGCTGAACTAGTTTCAGCAGTCATTACTAGTGTTTAAGTGTCACATGATCCTTCACAAATCATTCTAATAGGCTGATAAGCAGCAAGCTCAAGAAACATTGCTTAATATTATCAATGTTGAAAGCTGTTTTTTCGGGATTCCTTGATGAACAAAGTTTAAAAGAACAGCTTTTTAAAATTTTCAAAAGTCTTTACTGTCACATTTGTTTCATTTAATGCGTCCTTGCTGAGTATAAAAAGTAATTTAGCAAATTAGCAAATACTAATTTCTATTCCTCCCAGTGTATTAATATAATGCCGCCTCTGTCATGTGCAGTGTTGTGCAAGTTACTTCCAAACTGTAATACATTATAGATTACTTGTTACTGTTATTTCAAAGTAATTCCTTACCTTACAATATTACTGTCTCAGAATAGTCGTTTAATTTCCGTCTAATTGATGACTAGTCTATAAATGGGCTATGATTAGACGTCTGTTAGATTTTCACTGACAGCCCAAATTTAGCCTCGTTTTAGCCTAGACGTCTAGGCTATATTTAGACGTCTAATAGACATCTTTTAAACGCAAAAATGCTTGCTGGGCAGTTAATGTAATGCATTACATTTGTAACGCGTTACTCCCAACACTGGTCACGTGTTTCTGTTCAGCAGCACAGCTCGTTGAAACGCGCATGCTCGGTTTAGCTCAGCGTGTAGTGGCTTTATTCTAACTTCACAGTTTACACCGACACAATCCGTTATGAACACCACCGTATGAATACAAAGATGGGCAGCATAGATACACATAACGAGTTTATAACTCAGCACCTCTAAGTAGCCACACTTCATTTGTTATATGTAATGTTTACAATGTACAGCAAAAGGATTTCCGCTGCTAACGTTACAGGTATAACGGCTGCACTTCATCGGTGAGTTTGTTTGTGTTCGGTGAATTGAACTGTCTTGTCTTTTTGCGAAATATTTCCCGTTATGTTTCAACATGGCTAGGCGCAAAGTGAATCATAGGTTCAGCACCCTGGATATTATGGACGGGATTGACAGTGAAGGACATTGATAAGCATGGGTAACGATGATGACTATTGTCCAAACTTGCTTCTGGGATTTACATACTATTGTGTCAATTCACAATGACTAAGCACAAGCTTTCACGTCCCTCCCATTAGTTCAACTACTGCGTTGGCCTGGGTGTTGACTTCCTGCTTGTGGAGATATTAAGCCCGCTGGCTCGACTGTGGGCGTCTTTTCTTACTCTTGGACGTTCGCTGTCATCTTCTCGTAGGCTCTTCGGTCGCAGCATGGCCTCTGAATCCGTAACGCGCTTTGATTTTCTGGTGATTGGCGGAGGATCCGGAGGGCTGGCCGGCGCGCGGCGGGCGGCTGAGCTCGGTGCCACTGCAGCCGTGATCGAAAGTAACAAACTCGGAGGTACCTGCGTGAGTAAAGATCATCCTGCTCATGCAAACTCACATTTCCCTTAGAGCCATGTAGATTGTGTTCTTTAGATTTACAGTAATTGGTCGCTGCGTTAGTCACATGAACAGAGGTGCTTTGGGAAGCCTCCGGATCCAGCGCTTTTTTTGTGGCATGTTTTTGTGTGTAATGCAAAACCTGCACCTGTGCATTTTTGTCTGGTGATATTATTGACTTGGTTTATTAAACAACTTCTCTTCTGCTGCAGGTGAATGTTGGTTGCGTTCCTAAAAAGGTATTTTTTCCCCTTACACTAAATTGGTTGGGCGCATAATGTGAGTTGAGTTGTCATAAATGCTCATAAGGTTTTGCATTTTGTATGCTTCCAGGTTATGTGGAACACATCCACCCATGCAGAGTATCTCCATGATCATGAAGACTATGGGTTTGAGGGAGCAAAATCACATTTCAACTGGCAGTAAGTAAGATAACACTTTCCTGGGGGATTTCTTCTGGGTTGTTTGGTTTTGTTTTCGTGTATAATGTTAAGTATGTAGGATTATGGCAAGCCATTGCAACATTAAGTATTCTAAAAAAAAAAGAAGCATTTATTTAGTATCCGTTTTTTATTACTAGTATATTTACTATTATAACTACTATAATTTAATAGTGACTAGTATATTTCTCTGCTATTGCATTTGTTGGTTCATTAGATAATAGTCTTGATTCTGATAGTAACTAGTACTTGTTCATATAACCAGGGTTTGAAATGAACTTTTTCACTCGCAAGCCAATTTGACTGCTAAATATTTAAGTTACCAGCCATTTATAACTTATTTTATTATTTATTATTAAATCTGATTCTAAATCATTGAATGTTTTTCCGTTTTAAAACAGTCAATCATTGTTTGTGAATACCATAAAATTAAAACAAAATGGAAATAAAAATAAAATTCTCCATGAATTCTTTTTTTATTTATTTCCAAACTTAGCTCACGTCAAAATGGTAATAGTTTAATGATAAACATTGAAGATTAGCGGACTGGCTGCCAATTCATGAACTGATCAGCAGTTTTTTTTGTTTGTTTTTTTACACAAAAGTCAGCGTATTGAAAGCTCTTCTTTGACATTTATTGAAAAAGCCAACCCCTTCTCACTCGAAGTGAAAAAGTGGCCTCATCTCCTAGGGCTCCATTTGCACACTGGGTGAGAAGTGTGGCGCCTCGAATGTCTCATAGGTCTTGCACACCAGACGCGATTCTGAATGCGTTCTCAAGTTCAAGACGGCAGTCCAAAACAGTAAATCTAATCACTATGCAGGCAAAAGCTTACCTTCCGGAATGAATGAAGTGACATCAATGAGTTTGAATTTAGGCGTTTGGAGAAAAAAAAACTGTGCAAATGAAAAAAGAAAGGGCGATCTATATTATTATAACATATTAAGCGTAGACTTCAAGCAACAAAAAAACTAACTTTTTACTGAAAAATAAATGCACAGTACACAATCGTTTAGCCTAGGGTAAAGTTCGTATGTAGAAATATTTGTCCCAATTCATTATTAATATATGTGAATGGCATGGCAATATTTTGAACAGTCTACAGATACACATAGAAAACAATTACAAATTTTACGTGGCAATTCTCGTCCAGTGTGCAACCTTTTTTACGCTTTGTTTTGCTGTTGTTGGAGGACATAATTTAAGAATCATAACCAGCCAAATTGACTAGTGAATTGATATGTGTTACCTGTCACGGTTGATTTTCACCCACATTTGGCGGGTTAGCTGGTTTTAATTTCAAATCCTGTCATAACATACCAGTAAGTATTCCATTTCTACTGGAACAGAATTTGCCATTGAATTCTATGGGAATTTGCAGTTCACATATCAATTATTCGCTTCTAACTAGCATGTATTTCGATTATCTATTCTATGTTACCTATTTCAAGTACCTTTTCTACTAGTAATTCTACCAGTGATTAATAGTAATTAAAATGAAGTACCAGTTCTGTTTCTACTGGTAGTTAGTTTATAGTAATTAAAAGTGAGTACTAGTAACATCAGTAAAAATACAGGAGGGGGATACATGTAATATCAGCTTGCCATAGAGGGTATTGTTTCTGTAAGAAGATGTGGTAATTCTTTTCACAAAAAGGACTTTTTTACTCTTGTGACAGTTGAGTATAGTCATGTTCCCGCACGCTCTGATTCATTACAGCTTTCAGTATTTGTTTTGCTTCCCTTTTGTGGCATATAATATCAGTACTGCTTTAAGTGGATGTTTTTGTCAGCCACAAAAGCATGAGGTGGAATAGTTTGCTTGACTAGAGGTGAGTTATGCTGTAGAGAGTTCAGCTATCAGTGATATGATAAAGCTAAATTAATGGAACAGAGATCACTCTTTGGGTATGTGTATTTTCAGACTCATTAAACGCAAAAGGGATGCTTACGTTAGTCGCCTGAATCAGATTTACCGGAACAACCTTGACAAGGTAGGCTGCAATAAGTTACTTTTAAATCAGCAAATTAAATATGAAGTGAAAAGTAATTTGTAGTAGGTAAAAAAAACTAATCAAAATCTTTTATACCAAAATGAGCATGGTTTTAAGGGGTCACATTGTGAAGAATTTGATTTTCTTGATCTTTATAGTACCAGTTCTACATTGTACTATGAAAGCTTTACATAGAAATTTTAAAAGCACGTAGACAAAAAAATGGCATATTTAATTGTCAGAGGCAGCGTGGAAGAATTTGCACCAAAAGCATGTTGCTAACTGACTATACTAAGTGGACCTCAAGGGAAAAACTAAATAGCATAATGAAAATGCTTGATAGGACCTCTTTAAACCTTGAGAATTAATATTGATGTGTAGACTGAGAAGTTGTTTGTGGTTGTACACAGGGCAAAATTGAGTCCATTCATGGCTATGCAAGGTTCACAGATGATCCTGAACCTACTGTTGAAGTTAATGGAAAGAAATTCACAGCTCCTCATATCTTAATCGCCACTGGCGGCCACCCATCCACTGTTAGTGAGGATGATGTACCAGGTGATCTTATGTTTGTTCATTACAACAACAAAAAAAATTTACCTCATTCTGCTTTACTTCTCAGTTCATCCTTATCATGTGCACTTGCATTAATGTGATTTTTGTACTTATTTTCATCACTTTGCCAGCATCTGCTAAAAACATTTAGTAAATTTCAATGTTATTGCAGGAGCCAGTTTAGGCATTACCAGCGATGGATTCTTTGAACTTGAGTCTTGCCCTAAGTAAGTGATTAAATGCTGATTTCTACTTTATTATTGTGTTTTCTTAGCTTATCTTAAAATAACCGACCACTGTATCCATCTAGACATAGTGTGATAGTTGGGGCAGGATATATTGCTGTGGAGATGGCTGGTATCCTTTCCACTCTTGGGTCCAAAACCTCCATCATCATACGACAAGGAGGGGTAAGAGCTCTGTTTATTGTCACCTGGCTAAATGCTACTGTCTTGGCCGGCAACTCCTGGGAAGGTTCACCATTGTTCCAAGTTTTCTCAATTTGTGGATAATGGCTCTGACCATGGTTTGCTGGTGTCCCAAAGCCTTAGAAATGGCTTTATAATCCTTCCCAGACTGATACATGTCAACTGTTTTGATTCTCATCTGTTCTTAAACTTCTTTAGATCGTGGCACGATGTGTTGCTCTTTAAGCATGCTTCACTTCATCAGACAGGTTCTACTTAAGTGATTTCTTGATTCAACAGGTCTGGCAGTAATCAGGCCTGGGTGTGGCTAGTGAAATTTAACTCAGCTTTCTAAAATAATGTGGTTAATTGCAGTTCTTTCATGATTTAACAGGAGGGGGCAATTAATTTTTCACGTAGGGCCACGTAGGTTTGGACAGCTTTTTTCCCTTAATAAATGAAATCATCATTTAAAAACTGCATTTTGTATTTACTTGCATTATCTTTGTGTAATATTTAAATTTGTTTGATGATCTGAAACATTAAAGTGTGACAAACATGCAAAAAAATAAGAAATCTGGAAGGGGGCCAACACTTTTTCACACCACTGTATATCCTGTATATCACTGTATATCATAGTAAACAATGGCCGTGTTCTTTCTTTTCAAGGTACTGAGAAACTTCGATGCCTTGATAAGCTCAAATTGCACCAAAGAATTGCAAAATCAGGGTATTGACTTACGGAAACATAGTCAGGTAACTAGTAGTGAGCATTATTAAGTTAAGTATTATGTAGCTGCCATATCTTTCCAGTGTGATCTATCAGTTTGTTTGTTCTACATGAAAAAAGTTAGTTCAGGCAATAATTAAAAAAAAGTAAATTCTTTATTAGTACTCAATTCAAGCTTGTAGAAATTAAAGCATAAATATCAACGTTATAAAATTAAGCAAAACCTAGTAAACTTTTCTGATACTGGTTTTCCCATCATACACTGGGGCATGAATAATTAATAAGTTTTTTTTTTTTTTTTGCAGTGTAAAGCAACTCGCCTCAAAGGGAGAGTTGGAAATCTGCAAAGATTGGGAGTGCGTCCGTTGGTTTAGGAGGGAATGCATAAGGGTTTGACCCTCAAAGTCCATGTGGGTTTAAGGTGAAGCAGGGTGGGGCTGTGGTCAGTAAGAAAGAGAAGGGATGCATTTCATTATGCTATGCATGCAAAGGAAGCCCACCCTGTTTTTGTGTGTAAGCCATCGCAGCTGTTTCAGTCAACAAATCTCTGGCAGGCTTTCTTCCAGCGGCAGGCGGTGGCCCCCAACTTTTTTTTTTTTTTCCCCCCCCCCCCCCCCCAAATATATCTTACATCAGTATATCCAAATATTCTGATGTTTTCACAGGTTAAGTCAGTGCAGAAGACTGACAAAGGCCTTTCTGTTAAGCTGGTGACAAAAGACCCTGATGACAAAGATGCACAGGAGAAGTGCGACACCATCCATGAGGTGGACTGTCTGCTCTGGGCTATTGGCAGGGAACCCAACACCGCTGGCCTCAATCTCAGTTCAATAGTAAAAACGAATTTCAGTTTGGTTAATATTATTATTTTTATGATTAATATCAGCATTAGTAGTATGATTGGTAAAATATTGTTAGTAAAAATGATAATATTAATAATAATAATAAATACCTAAGAAGCTTTAAGGAATGTTACAGGATTATAAATTAAACTCCATTGATAACATCTGTGGCATGATGTTGATTCCCAAAGAAAGAAAATTCCTCACTTTATAGAAGCTAGAAAAACTATTTATACAGTATAGCACTTACGATTGAAGCTTATGAGGAATGGAACTGCATATATTATATTGTATATATTACATGTAGTAGAAATATAATACATGTAATTTTATGCAATACATTTTTTTTTATTGTTTTTAGACCTCACAATTTTTAAACAAAATGTCATAACTCGCTCTTCCGGTGAAACGTCAGACTTGTGTTCTGCGGCTCTTATTCAGATCTGCCTTCATCCAATCAATGACTGATAGATCCATGTCCCTCCCCTACAATTGTTTTCTGTTTTCAATAATCCGTTTCACTCTGATGTATGTCACACTATGAAAGTGACACACTATGATCTGACGCTACTTCCATTATATCACAACTTTAAACATGACACAAGTTAACATACAAGTGAAAATCTCTTACCAACCTTGTCTGTGCAAATTTCTGCTCACAGGAACTTTGTCGCTCAAGCATAACTAGATGTTTATGCGCCTAGAACGGTAGGGAGATTTAGACAACTTTACCCCTTTTGAACAGAAAAATTGAAGTGTGCTTTAACAAACATACAAGCTGTACATTTCTGCTTTTAAACCCTCTAGAATGCATTGTCACATTGTGTACACACCATTTTTGAGGGATCATCGAAACATGCCACAGATGCTGTTGATAAAGTTCAACTGAAAACAGAATATTCTTTTAAACTGCAGAAGCTACACAAGATATTATCTTCGCACTGTGTCAGTTGGTGATAAAGTAAGAATGCCAGTTGGATGTATTGTTATCCAGGGTGTGAAGCTTGATGAAAGGGGACATATCGTGGTGGATGAGTTCCAGAACACTACTCGTGCAGGTGTCTATGCAGTTGGGGATGTTTGTGGGAGAGCTCTTCTTACACCTGGTATGGTTTCAGGATCACATCCTTATGGAGAATTTGCTCTTACATGCATTAAAATCTTCTGGGTGTTTTGTTTGAATACATAAAATAAAACCGCCCATTTTTACACACTCTACTCTGTTTTAGCATAGTATTCATTAAGCACACTCAGAAACCAATTACGTAAGAGATTTGGTCTTAAAACAATTCATTAAATTTAAAAGATCTTAAAAGATGATGCATGTTGTGCGATTCAGTCTTCCTGTGATTCAGTTGGTTTATGTAAATAACACCTTCCACATTGTGTTTAAAACAACAGACCCTCCCTACATGAGGAAGTTGATTTTGTGCAGTTTCATTTTTTTGTTACTCTAGCGACATCAACTGGTCAGAGTAAATTGGATATGCTTACCATTCATCACACTTTTTTAATTGCATAGTTTATCATCTGTTTAATGGGAATGTATATTCTGTTTTTCTCTGATAAGCTGTTGTTGTTTCCTGTTTTTATTTGTATGGGTAGTTGCTATTGCTGCTGGCAGAAAGCTTGCTCACCGGCTGTTTGAGGGCAAAGCAGACTCCAAAATTAATTATAATAACATCCCTACCGTTGTGTTCAGTCACCCACCTATTGGCACAGTGGGACTAACTGAAGGTGAGCTTATGTACGACTAATGCTTCCTTACAGTATCTTAAAGATCAGACTCCATATGTAGCATTATTATTTTAGTATTCTTTATATACCAGTATATTATGTATTAATCTTTTAGTTTGATTTAGTCATTTTGATTGTATTTTGTAGTTTCCTTTTTTTTTTATATATATATATATCTATCTGATATTATTTTCTATATTGATTTTTTTCAGCTTTAGTTTTAGTAGTTTTACTACAACATCAACATTATTTCAGATGCCAAGGAAACATTTCTAATTTTCATTTAACATTTTCTGTTTTGTTTTCTCTGTACGGAACATTTGCTACAACAGGCCCTACCGTTGTGTTCAGTCACCCACCTATTGGCACAGTGGGACTAACTGAAGGTGAGCTTATGTACGAGTAATGCTTCCTTACAGTATCTTAAAGATCAGACTCCATATGTAGCATTATTATTTTAGTATTCTTTATATACCAGTATATTATGTATTAATCTTTTAGTTTGATTTAGTCATTTTGATTGTATTTTGTAGTTTCATTTTTTTTTATATATATATATATCTATCTGATATTATTTTCTATATTGATTTTTTTCAGCTTTAGTTTTAGTAATTTTACTACAACATCAACATTATTTCAGATGCCAAGGAAACATTTCTAATTTCCATTTAACATTTTCTGTTTTGTTTTCTCTGTACGGAACATTTGCTACAACAGGGTCCATATCTATCTATCTATCTATCTATCTATCTATCTATCTGTCTGTCTGTCTGTCTAGCTCTCTCACACTCTTCCCCATATTTACTTTATTTTCCATATAATATACACATGGAATTGCAGACTAAAGCATTTTAGATGAAAATATCCTAGATACCATTTTGATGATAAAATAATAATTCATTAAAAGTTCTTAAAAAGGCAATAAGGGCCAGATTTACAAACCCTTGTTTGGCTTTTAAAAAACTACTGTCAGGATTTACCTAAGACATGCTGACAAAGCATTAGAAATGAAAAGGTGTGGACATGTATTTTGGCATCTGACCTTATTGCATATGCATTTGTAGGAGTTTCCCTTTCAGATGCAAAATGTATGGGAGGAGAGTATTTAAATAAATCATGGTGATTGACTAAGGTTTGCAGTGGTCAGTTTACTCATATTTGTGCCATGACAGTATTTAACACCTAAAAAAACAAATCTTCTTAACCCATTGTGAACCTGTGTTGTAAGTACGTTACATTTAATTAATGAATTGTCATTAGATCACCATCAAAACTTTCCACTTCCACCAGCACTTTTATGGGATTTTAGACACTAATTTGCCCTGTTTCGCAGTGGTCAGTTTACTCATATTTGTGCCATGACAGTATTTAACACCTAAAAAAACAAATCTTCTTAACCCATTGTGAACCTGTGTTGTAAGTACGTTACATTTAATTAGTGAATTGTCATTAGATCACCATCAAAACTTTCCACTTCCACCAGCACTTTTATGGGATTTTAGACACTAATTTGCCCTGTTTAGTAAATCTGGCCCCAAGACTGTATGGAACATGTCCTAAAGTGTGTTCAGTGAACAGAATGACTGACAGTTTAACAAATAGTTTGAGCTACTCTTAGAATATATATATAAATGTCATGTTTTGCAGATGAAGCAATCAAGACCTGGGGAAAGGACAGTGTGAAGGTTTATACCACTTCTTTCACCCCCATGTATTATGCCATCACCGCTCGAAAGAGTCAGTGCATCATGAAGTTGGTGTGTGCTGGCAAAAATGAGAAGGTGAGGTCATAATCAGTCCATCGATCATAAATGAGTATAAAATATCAAGAAGGATCTGGAGTAATATTTAATTTTATTTAAACAGTTCGCTGTAACATTTAAGTCATTTTCAATAAGACACTTTTCTTTTTTAGGTGGTTGGTCTCCATATGCAGGGTTTTGGCTGTGATGAGATGCTTCAGGGTTTTGCTGTGGCTGTGAACATGGGAGCTACTAAAGAAGACTTTGACAGAACCATTGCCATCCACCCGACGTCCTCAGAAGAGCTAGTAACACTGTGCTAATCAAGTGTTCATATCCCAACATGACAGCTTCGTTCCAATCTAAATAACAACAAAAAAAAAATTCTTTGACTATTTTCCAAACATTAATATTTTGTAATGACAAGAAGCATATATTTGGTTTGTTAAATCTCTGGGGTCATGTATTATTGCCAGTGATTAAGAAAGACACATTACAACCGTTCATCAGGCTGTGTCTCTCGTACATTGCACTGGAGCTTATGTACGACTAATGCTTCCTTACAGTATCTTAAAGATCAGACTCCATATGTAGCATTATTATTTTAGTATTCTTTATATACCAGTATATTATGTATTAATCTTTTAGTTTGATTTAGTCATTTTGATTGTATTTTGTAGTTTCCTTTTTTTTTTATATATATATATATCTATCTGATATTATTTTCTATATTGATTTTTTTCAGCTTTAGTTTTAGTAATTTTACTACAACATCAACATTATTTCAGATGCCAAGGAAACATTTCTAATTTCCATTTAACATTTTCTGTTTTGTTTTCTCTGTACGGAACATTTGCTACAACAGGGTCCATATCTATCTATCTATCTATCTATCTATCTATCTATCTATCTATCTATCTATCTATCTATCTATCTATCTATCTATCTATCTATCTATCTATCTATCTATCTGTCTGTCTGTCTAGCTCTCTCACACTCTTCCCCATATTTACTTTATTTTCCATATAATATACACATGGAATTGCAGACTAAAGCATTTTAGATGAAAATATCCTAGATACCATTTTGATGATAAAATAATAATTCATTAAAAGTTCTTAAAAAGGCAATAAGGGCCAGATTTACAAACCCTTGTTTGGCTTTTAAAAAACTACTGTCAGGATTTACCTAAGACATGCTGACAAAGCATTAGAAATGAAAAGGTGTGGACATGTATTTTGGCATCTGACCTTATTGCATATGCATTTGTAGGAGTTTCCCTTTCAGATGCAAAATGTATGGGAGGAGAGTATTTAAATAAATCATGGTGATTGACTAAGGTTTGCAGTGGTCAGTTTACTCATATTTGTGCCATGACAGTATTTAACACCTAAAAAAACAAATCTTCTTAACCCATTGTGAACCTGTGTTGTAAGTACGTTACATTTAATTAATGAATTGTCATTAGATCACCATCAAAACTTTCCACTTCCACCAGCACTTTTATGGGATTTTAGACACTAATTTGCCCTGTTTCGTAAATCTGGCCCCAAGACTGTATGGAACATGTCCTAAAGTGTGTTCAGTGAACAGAATGACTGACAGTTTAACAAATAGTTTGAGCTACTCTTAGAATATATATATAAATGTCATGTTTTGCAGATGAAGCAATCAAGACCTGGGGAAAGGACAGTGTGAAGGTTTATACCACTTCTTTCACCCCCATGTATTATGCCATCACCGCTCGAAAGAGTCAGTGCATCATGAAGTTGGTGTGTGCTGGCAAAAATGAGAAGGTGAGGTCATAATCAGTCCATCGATCATAAATGAGTATAAAATATCAAGAAGGATCTGGAGTAATATTTAATTTTATTTAAACAGTTCGCTGTAACATTTAAGTCATTTTCAATAAGACACTTTTCTTTTTTAGGTGGTTGGTCTCCATATGCAGGGTTTTGGCTGTGATGAGATGCTTCAGGGTTTTGCTGTGGCTGTGAACATGGGAGCTACTAAAGAAGACTTTGACAGAACCATTGCCATCCACCCGACGTCCTCAGAAGAGCTAGTAACACTGTGCTAATCAAGTGTTCATATCCCAACATGACAGCTTCGTTCCAATCTAAATAACAACAAAAAAAAAATTCTTTGACTATTTTCCAAACATTAATATTTTGTAATGACAAGAAGCATATATTTGGTTTGTTAAATCTCTGGGGTCATGTATTATTGCCAGTGATTAAGAAAGACACATTACAACCGTTCATCAGGCTGTGTCTCTCGTACATTGCACTGTTGTACCCCACCGCTCTGATTTTCACGGGTATTATTGTTTGATTGGAATAGGGTCAGATGAAGGCTTGATGATTTATGACAGCTAAAAGTAAAATTAAATCTGTTTATAGTCAAACACTGTTGCTTTACCTTTTACATTTTTGGAAAGTTGCTTTTAGTAGTAGTTGCTGGTAAGTAGTGCTTACTAAATATATGCAAAATAAAATTGTGGATATGCACAGTTCAGCACTTGCGGATAGACCGTGTATACATTTATAAAATACATTTGTGTCTTTGTGTGGTTGATCTTTTGTTAATTTCTGTATTGACGTTGTCAGTATACTTTTAATAAACCTGTCACTTTTCATAAAAACTTGACAATTTGTCAATTCTTCAAAGGCTTAAAGTGAGTTGCATTTATAAGAGGCACTAGGCTAGTGAAGTTAAAGCATCTCTTTGGAATCATTAATATGCAAAGATATTGAACATTTGTCACTATGATTACAAAATTCTAGAGTTGGTATAAGCAAATATTTTCTTGCTTAACGTTTACTCCGCTGCTTTCATTTAACATTGTTTCACTCAGAAATTGAGGAATTTCAGTCACTTTTAATCTGCATCTTTATAGGTGTTTAAAAAGAGTTTGAGGATTTATATCAATATGTTTGGCTGTCGGCTAAGCTTGGTTTCTAAATACCATTTTTTTATGAGAGGAGGTGGGATTCAAATGCTATATTAATCAGCTGATATTCTGAGAGGCATTAGGAGACATTTCCACCCGTTTTGAGTAAATTTCATTTGCAATGAAGTCCTCATTCACACAGCCAACATAACATTGAAAAGCTCATATATTAACCTACCTGTGTGCTTGTCATGTTACTTTTACAAGTTATATCTACACTACCAGCCAAAAGTCTGTGATTGGAAAGATGTCTCGTACTCAACTTGGCTGTAAATAAAATACTGTGAAAGAATTCAGCTTTAAATAACTTTGACCACAGAATTTTAAATGTTTTATTCTACTGGCAGCAAACATTACTGCAAAAATCATTTTAAAGTGGTGGCTTTCAATCCTGGTACTGGGGACCCACTGCTCTGCACATTTTGTAAGTCTCCCTTATTTATAAAAAAATAAAAACACACACACACACACCTGCGTGTCAGCTAAGGGAGACATACAAAATGTGCAGAGCAGTGGGTCCCCAGAAACAGGATTGAAAAGTACGGTTCTAATACATCGATTTGGTAAACTCAGAATAATCACGATTCATAAAAAACAAAAACCCCACACACAACTCCGGATTCCTTGATTGCGCGTATATTATGGTTTCCTACACATTGCATATTTCTGATTATATAGTAGCCAAAAAAAAAATATATATAAAAAACCCATACAGTTTGCCCAAGAGCTAAAAGACAGCTCAAAACCTCATGAAGACACATTTGAAATAATGGTTGGCAACGAAAATTGGAGCGAAAAAAATTAAAACAAAGACCAGACAGAAAATTTGTTTATGAAAAAGATTTTAATGGTTAAAAGGCTTATATGGCCACTGCTGGGTCAAATTAAATATACTTTCAAATAATGGAGGGAAAAAAAAAAAAGAAAAAAAAAAGTGGAATACCATTAAAACAGAAATTACAAGTTACATTTTAAAGTCAAGGTCATGAAGTGAAACAATGAGCTGCTTAAATTTCATTACCCCTGAGTTTCATCTCAAACAATGGACAGGCAATAAACCTAGAACAAATCAAACAGAGGCCTACACGGTGTTCTACCAGGCTTGACTTGCGCAAACATGACCACTTAAACCCAAACAAAAGGAAAACACACTGCGATGCGTGTCTGCTGGTACTGGTAATGGCACAGAACTCCTCATTTAACCCAATACCAAACATTTCGTTTTGAAAGTCCAGTGTCCAAATAGTTTGCATAAAAAAAAAAATACAAAAAAAAAAATAAAATCAAAAGTGACGTACAGCTTAAAGAGTCACATTAGTGCTTCTAATAGCCCCCATAGCCACCACCACCACCGCCGCGTGGGTAGGGCCCACTGCTCCTGCTGGAATAGCCGGCTTTCACAGCACCATAACCTGAAGGCTGCTGTCCATAACTCTCGCCGAAATCACTGTAGCCATTCCCGTTGCCGTATCCACCGCCCATCTGGTCACTATAGCCTCCTCCGTAGCTACTTTGGCTTTCGTAGTTGCCATCGTTACCGTATCCGCCGTTCTGATAGCCGTAGTCGCCATAGTAACCACCTCTTCCGCCGCCATAACCGGTTCCCCGGCCCATTCCTCGGCCTCCCCTGCCGCCGCGACCGCCGGCACCTTGCATCTCTTGCTTGGTGAGCGCCTTCTTCACCTCCACCTTGTGTCCGATGATCACGTGGAACTTCATCACGACGGCTTTATCGGCAGAGTCGTTGTCTTCAAAGTAAACGAAACCGAAACCTCGCTTTTTCCCGGTGTCTTTGTCGGTGATGACCTGAGCCTTCTCGATCGTACCGAACTGGGAGAAATACTCTTGGAGGTGTTCGTCCTCAATGTCGTCTTTCAGTCCCCCGACAAATATTTTCTTGACCTTGGCGAGTGCCTCTGGTTTACCGGCGTCTTCCCGGGCCACCGCTCGCTTCAGATCCACGTTGTTGCCGTCCACGACATGAGGCCTAGCAGCCATGGCGGCGTCCGCTTCCTCAACGCTCGAGTACGTAACAAAGCCGAAACACCGGGAGCGCTGCAGCGGCTGGTTCATCACCACCACGCAGTCGGTCAGCTGTCCATACTGTTCAAAATGTGCCCGCAAGCCTTCGTCGGTCGTTTGGACGTTTAGGCCGCCAACAAACAGTTTACAAAGCTGGTTCGTCATTTTCTCACAATGGACGCTGAGATCACATGCAACGGAAGGAAGAACTCGAATGTGTTTGAAACGCGGGGCGGTTCCTTTTGTGTGCGTCAACACCTACGTAGTGGACTCTGATTGGCTGCAAAGTAAAGCACATACATCAAACCCATCCTCAATTAGCAAGACGCATTCTGGGCACTGGCAAGCAACCACTGACCTATAATAGAGAATTATTATATAGATCAGTGGCTGCAACTAAAAGAATCAAAGCTAATTTGTCAATCCATTTAGTTGAAAAAAATATTGTTTTTTGGAAAGATGAAATTTCGAGTTCATGAGTTATATGTGAACTTGACAGCGGGTAGGCCTACATTTTGTTGCAAATACCGTTCTATTCTGAATCCAAGAAA